CACTCTGTGGCAGGAAAAATACTGGGAAGGTCTATGTTTCTCCTAATTCTTTTCCTTTTGTTTGTTGTTTTCCTTTTTTTTTTTTTCTTTTTTTCTTAAACACAGGTAAAACCTAGAACAAACCGACAGTTACAACCAAGTGAAACCGAAACCGGAGGGGAGGTAGCTGGAACCCGACTCCAAGAGTCCTCTGGTGCCATCCTCCTTTCTCAGCCTGGGGGGGACGGGGGACACAGCGGAAGATGCAAGAAAAGCAGGAGGACACCAGCTCAGCCCATCTGCCAGAGGGTGGGGAGGGAGAGGGGTAGCAGCTGATAGGAGTTTCCCACCCCACCATGCACCATTGACTGCTTTCTGCTCCAGCTTTCCCTCCCGCTGGCCTTGGACATCCCTCCCCCATAGCCAGGGGGCTGGCTGGTGGCCCCAGGTAGGGTGCAGCCTTGGCTCACTATCTGTGACGGAGAAGATCTTGGCACTAGTGTGACCTGGACTTTATGAGCAGCTATATTTCATCCATATGGTCCCCTCGCCTGTTCTCTCTTCTTGTTGGATGTTGTCCTACACCACTGGCTCGGTGGGTGGAGGTGGTGGGTCATGTCCCTCTTATGTCCCAACCAATGGCCATCACAGTCATGAAGGGTCTTTCCTAGGGACTCCACCGGGCATTTAAGGTCCTTACAGTGGTAGATGCTGCAAGGCCACCCAGCTGGCCTTGCCCCAGGGTGGGGGAAGAGGGGACAGGAGCTGGGCAGCTGTCCATGACCCACAGCTCCCCTCTGCACCCCCTGGGAGCAGCACCTGAAAGGCAGAGGGCAAAGCTTTGCCCCAGTGCAATCTTTTCTCAATGGATAAAAAAAAATAAATGTTGGATTTAACACGACTCCGAGCAGCACTTCTGCTCCTGGTTCCGTCAGCCCCGTTGGAGAAGATGGACAGTGCCAACATGGCAGCTGGAAAAAAAAAACATCAAATAGCAGCATGGAAAAGGGAGTTGGGTCTCCCACAGACTGCAGGAGCCAAGCTGAGGTGTGAGGCTGTGCTGGCAAGAGGCCACCATCTCCCTTGAGCTGAGAAAGACTCCAACTCAGTGAGCAGAGGAGCTCAGTGGGCCCTGAGCTCTTAGGAGCACAGAGAACCAAGTGGCAATAATGCTTTTATAGACCTGTCTCTGTCCTAGGTGGGAAAAGCAGGTAGAAGATCTCCCCCGTGCTGAGCTGCATGACCCAGAAGGGGATTTTGCAAACTGAGCTGCCACCAGAATGCATGCAGGACCCAAACTGGGGCTCCCTGCTGGGGCCAGGTTGGGTGGATGGGGGAGATCCTATCAAGATGCCCTGTGCACCGAGGACATGATGTGTTGGCAGCCTGAAAGGCTTTTGAGGTTGTGAGCTCTTCTGATGGGCTGGATGGCACATGAACAAACTGCCAACACAAAAGGGCGGGATAAAGGGACCTGAAGGAAGCAACCTTTTCATAATTATTTACTTCCATTGTTAATTAGGTGGCAAGGGGCAAAAGTAGAAGTTTTGCCCGGGCCCAGGGTCTCTACACTGGAGGACGTTCAATCTAACTGCACAGAAGGAGCCCTGATCCCACTGCACCTCCCTTTCCTGTATCCCCCCACATGGTGGGGGCAGAGCCAGCCCCCGTGGCCAGGCCCTCTCCAAAATAACAAGGAGCTTCAAAACAGCAAGCTCCTCACCTTCTTATGACAATCACCTCGCCAGGCCTCTAAATTTTAGTTCTTGAGATTCATCTATGGTTTATTCCAACAGAAAAACCACCCCAACGGTGGGTGACAAGAGCCTGGCTCCTTGCACCCACAACTCTGCCAGTTTTCCATTTGTAGTTCTCTTACCCATTTTTACATCCATCTCCATGACACACACCCCCTTACCCTTCAGCCTTGCTCCAGTGCCTAAATGTTCAATCAAGGAACAGGGAAAAAAATCTTTCCAACCTGTCTCTATCCAATAGATTGTACAAGTCAGGAGAGTCCCAAGGAACAGACTTAACACTTGGAAGGACACTCTTTTGGATGTTCTTCCCAGCAGGAGCCTGAAGCAGCAGGAGACAAGCCCAAGCCACACTGGGATTTACCTGGGATGGGTTGTAGCAGCAGCACTGGATGCACTGGGCACCTCAGTGACTCAACGGGATGAAATGAGTCCCCAGGGGTCTGGCACCACACGTGTTCCCCCCTGGACTGAAAGAGGAGGATGGAGCTACACAACAGGGAAGTATGAGGTCTGCTGCAGCTAATGCCCTTCCTTCTGGACGATTACAAGCAGCTAAGCTCCTGGTCTATCAAAGGTGTCCAACCCACTGGCCTGGCAGCTTAATACTGACAAATATGGCCAAAATTCTAATACTGTCTCCCATGGTCCTTTCCCCATAGCACGTGCCTCCTCCTCCTCTTCCCTTCTCCTGAGAAAACAGGAGCATGAAGCGGTTGTCAGATATATACCACCCCACGAGGGGGGTGGAGGAGGCCTAGAGAACCACTCGGCTGGGTGGAGACCAGAAAGCAGACCCCTTTGGCTGGCTGGTGTCCTGTTTTCTTGCCCCAATGCTGAGGAAGAGACCAGAGGGTTTGAAAGGCAGGTTTGTAGGTAAGCTTTAAGGCAGACTATTTGGTTGCATGGGGTTGTTTTTCACCCTGTCCTGACACAGTAAAGAAACAAGTTGTACGGGACATAGCAGCAGGAGTAGCAGCAGCAGATATGCTCAAATGACAAGTGCGGGGACGAGTTACCCTCTCTGCTCCTCAGAAGCAATCACCCACCTTCCTCAAAGCCAGTCCTTAGACTCCCCATTCCCTGATTCCACCATAGGACCACCTGCCCACCTCCACACATCAGCGTCCCGGCAGCCTTGCAGCTTTCAGGCAGGCTACAAAGGGGGCTTTTTGTTGGCTTTTTGAGGGCAGGGGGAGAAGGAGGAGCCGTACAGAAAGGCCACTGCAGTCTGCTGAGCTCCCTGGCTGGAAGTAGAATTCCTGGGAGGAGCAGATGCATCCCACGTCTCGAGCTGGCTGGGCGTCTGGCAAGTCACTTGCCAAGAGGCACAGCCCTGTGGAGATCCCACCCCGACCTCAGTGCCCCGAGCATGCGATACCTTGGCATTCAGCATCAGAAAAGGCTCGGCTTGGAGTCCTCCAAGAGCACAGCCTTTTCCACGAACGGTCTGAGTTGTGAGTGCTGGAGAGGGGAAAGTGTTTTTGCGTTGATCATAATCTCTCACTCATTCTCTCTTTCTCTACTTATTTCTATAAATATGTGTACATAAATAGCTTGTTTCTCGCCTTGAATCTAGATATGAACTGTTCAAATTAGGTGGGCATAACATGCTGTTTTGATACATGAAAGTCTTCTCGACTTGACTCTTGGTTGTTTGTTTCTTGTCATCACTATTTAAGATATAGTTAATACATAAACCCCTACTTTGAGTTCTCCTTGGACAAAAATTAAAGGCAGACTGGTTGAATTCTAAGGGTCCCTGGTGCAGAAATGCCATCCAGTTGAGCAGCTAAATGTTAAAAACGATACCAAAAGGGATGTGGTGTCTCTCCTAGCCTGCCTTGAGCAATGTGGTCCTCCATTCCACGTCGCTTGGCGTTACCCAAGACTGAAGCCACGGAGGTCTTTCTGATTGTGCTCTTGGGCGTTGGGGTCCCGGCAAGCACACTCTCCTTGTAGGTCACAGGACATAGGGAAGGGAGTAACCTGGAGGAGGAAACCAGAGACACAAAGACATGAAGGAGGGAACACACCTACAGCACCCTGGAGAACAAACAAGAGCTCTGGATTGGTTCAGAGATCAGCTGCAGTCTTCAGCTGTCTTATTATTCTGCTGAGATTTATTTTAGTGCTGAGCTGATGGTGCACTGAGACCTGTCCATAAGGAAGGCTGGGAAAAATGCAAAGAAGAACCTGTTCAACTCACGCAGTTACTGGTCAGCAGATACTCAACAGTTCACACCAAGCACATGAACATAGCTGGTTGGGGAGACATGCACTTCCCAGGCAGCTCTGGGGCTTTTTGGGGTACTTACCACAATGCTTGGACCACATTACACTGCCAACCTCTTCTGAAGAGCTACCCTTACCCCAAAAGGCTCTAAACACTAAATGACAGCAAAGTTACAAACCCCTCATCTCACGTGACCAACTCAAATGCTCACCAAACATGATGGTCGAGCAGGTCCAAGCTCCAGCCTCCCTGTAGCACTCCTACCCACCTCCAGCTTGGGGGTTTTGGTGAACCCTACTCCTGGGCCATAGTCTCTCCTCTGTGGGGTATCATTCTGCAGCAAGGCCCTGTGGCTTGGGTGCTTCTGCCGTGCCCAAGTCCATTTGTGAGCTTAATTAGGAACGTTCTGGGTTTCAGTTCCTTGGGGCAGGAACTGAGGCAAACACCACCTAGCAGATCAGTGAAGCTGAAACCCAGCAGAGAGACTTCTCTAAATACCTGTTGTGTTTAAGGTCAAGAGATGCAGCTAACGGGCACTGAGGAACAGCAAAGGAATGCAAGTAAGAGCCTGCTACGTGCAGGATCTGTCATCTGTCCATGATCTCTCTGGAGAAGCGTGGGAAGGAGCAGAAACAATAGCCTGCAGTGCCTGGCTAGCGGAAGTTGATTTTGGCCGATTGCATCATGGTATTTACATAAAGAGAAAGGGGGGTGGTGGTGGAACAGTGTCTTGCTTGCCCTGAAGTGAATTCCCAAGAATTTCTCCCATCTGCACAGGCTGAGCAAATGACCTCATTCCCCTCCTTTCCACTCCTTCCAAGACGGTGCCACAACCTGTTCCAGCGTTCCCGGCGAGGGCTGCACGCGCGCGCTCCGTCTGCTTCCCTTGGCTTTGCTGCCACATGTTTGCTCTCTCTTTCATAAACACTTTTCTCCAGGCTACGAAGCCTGGGTCTGCCTGTTCCCCATGTATCATCACCGGCACATCTAGGAATGCGGACCCAGCGCCGTGCGTGAACACAGAGCTGTCATTTCCACCTAGAACTTCCACACGTGTCCTCGCATGTCCATCCCTAGCATGCCTTTCTCCTGACGCACGCAAGAATGGGATGGAGGGGTGCGGATCTTGATTTCACAACTGGAGAGCCTTAGGCAGGGACATGCTGACAGAGACATTAAATAGCCAACGCTCAACACCAAATCAGGGTTTAGAGAGAGCCCCCTCCCCTTGCGTTTGACTTCATTCCCAGAAGACCTGACCCTCCAGGTAGAACAGGGTGTTGACTCTTCATCAAGCCATGGCCTTGGTGACTTACAAACTAAATAACCACCCAGTGAATAATCTGAATCTACAATTGTGCAAATGTGGAGGTTGCAAAGACGAGATAGTCTAAAAAGCTAAAAGCAAATAAATTCAAAGAATTGGAAACTAAATAAGTTTATGAACTGCCGAAAACAATAGGAGCTTAAGGGTCACTCGATCCAACAGAAGCCAGCCAGAGCAGGACTGTCTCATATCACAGTGTTATGAATATTCTTAGATAGGAAAACAGAGACGTCTGCAAACAATGGGGTTTGGGGAGGAGGCTGAGGAGGGATTGTTTAATGACTGCATTGAAAAACTGGGAAGAATAAAAAAGAAAACACACATGACAAAAAATATTTGACTTTTCTTGTTCAATGTAGAAGGAAACGTTTTGATTTAGATTGTCTGCTGCAGTTCAGGTTTGACATTTCCCTCCAAGATATACAAACAAAAAAGACTATTTCAGAGCAAAAGTTACGTCTTGAAATAAAAACTTATTTCACTTACAAAATGCTCAAACCAAACTTTTAAATATGTCTGGAGTGTTCCCCTATTTTTATTTTTTATCCTGAATCATTCAGTTCAATCTGGATTTGGCAATGATTTTGACTTTAAAAATCCTCCCTGTCGTACAATGAAGCTACTGGTTGGAGGCGAGACCTGGGAACCTGATTCTTTCATTTGTCTTGATGGAACTTTTTCCTCTCCCTCCCTGGCCTGATTCCTTGTGTTTGTAACAGTCTAACAAAGGCGATTAAGAAGCCCCTGCATTTAAAGAAGAGAGACGCGTCACGGAGAAGGTGGATACACATTTTGCAGCGAACATGGGACAACCACAGCCCCAACTCAGGCATTTTAGCGATAGGATGAGGGGCAATGGTTTTAAACTAAAAGAAGGGAGATTTAGATTAGATATTAGGAAGAAATTATTTGCTGTGAGGGTGGTGAGACACTGGAACAGGTTGCCCAGAGAAGCTGCGGTTGCCCCATCTCTGGAGGGGTTCAAGGCCAGGTTGGAGGGGGCTTGGAGCAACCTGGTGTGGTGGGAGGTGTCCCTGCCCAGGACATGGGGTTGGAACTTGATGATCTTTATGGTCCCTTCCAACTCTGACCATTCTATGATTCTATTATTTCAGTAAAGTGGCTGAAATTAGCCATGACATCCCACTGTGCTTTGTCTCTGCTGCTGTCTGTGCAGAAGTAGGGCAGTGAAACGTGCTGCAGGCATGGAGGTTCCATAAATGCTACCATTTCACTTGCTACCATTTCATCAGAGCCAAGAGCAAAAGCCCTTCAAGACTGTGTCTCCGAACTACCACCTCATGTTCTTCTAACCTACTCTGTAGGCCCAAACTGGCATGAGTTTGATGCTGCCTTGAAGTGATCTACCTTCTACATTCCCTCTTCTCCCCCATTTCTCCTCGTGAGTCCCTTGTTTTCCCCATTGCTTTCTTACCGGTCACTGGAAGCGTGTGCTCGTCACTGGAGCACCCTGAACAAAAGCTGCACAGAAGAGACTAGATCGGTACTGCACTGCAGCCAACTTCTGGGGAGAGGGAACCACTAGAGAAGAGAAGTCTTGCCATGTGTTGTCCTCTAGAAACCCTCCAGTCTCCCAACGTGAACAAAAGTGCCGAAGTTTTCTCTCTGGGGCAGAGCTGTGGCCCCGAGAGCAGAAAGTTCCGTGGCTCAGCAGCAGTCACAGCAGTGGGTAGCCTGAGTATGAGAAGGCTTCTTCCTGATCAGATTAGTCTTATTCACTTTATGTCCCTTACAGAGTTTTTTTCATGCAATTTGATTTTTACTGTGCTATTGTCCAGATAGAGGAATTGTTTTGCCTGATGGCAGCGAGCTCCAGAGATCGGTTTTCTATTATGTGAAAAGGCAGAGATTTCTACAGGCAGTGAGCACATCCGCAGTCACATTAGACAAGACAAAATTCTCCAAACACTTAGCTGCAATACAGGGTTTCCACTTTAAACAACACCTACAACAAATACACATTTGAGTTCCCCAAGGATCTGATTCCCAAAGATATTTAGGGAATCAAACCCACATATAGCACCTACTAGGACTGTAACCAACTCAGAGAAACTGTAAAACCCCTTAGAAGAAGGACTGTCTTTCGCCTTGGGCTCGTCCAGTGATAGCCCTCTGGAGTACAGAGCCATGAATAAAGCTGCTGGATGTCCTAGAAATAATAAATGCTGAACCTTTTTCTGGAAGGTAGCCCATTTAGGTGTGGAGCCTGGATATATATACACCCAAGATTAACTGCTGCTTTTCTTTTTAAATAGGCTTGTGAAAGCCCAACCCATTAATGGAATATATGACCTGCACTGAATTTCCAGGTATATCTGTTGTAATGCCAGTATTAAAGAATCAGCTCTTCTTCTTTCACATGCCAAGTCCTGCGTTCACCCTGCACCTATCTCCACTGGTTAAACTGGTGAATATTTAGGAGGTCAGGGAGAAAAAGCTAAAAAATAAGCTTAGGGCCTGGCTTGGTCATTTGATGAAGTAGTGCAGGATATCGTTTCCTCAGTAACTAAAATAGGTTGAAAAAGGCACAACTGAAGAACACAGCTCCGCACGCCTACACGCACCCCCTACACACACATCTCCTGGAGATGATCCAGAACAGAGCCACGGTGTGGATCAACAGCACTCGGGGGAATGGGGGTCACACCTGAACCACGCCAGACCACAGACTATCTATCTTCAGGAGAAACCAGACACAACCTAAATCACGTCTGTGATTTTAAATCACCTCAGGGGGATGCACTGCTTGACACGCCGTGCTCTGAACCTAAAGGAGAAATGGCAGCAGGCGTAGGCTCCTGGGCTAGGCAGGAGGTTAGCATGGACATCTGAGGTGTTACACACAGGAGATTGGAGACATCTCCACCTCGACCAACTCACCACCCATGCTTCACAGCATCATGAGCCCATACTTCTACTCTCCACAAAGGTACGGGAGCCCTAAGCACCCTCTCCCATGCTGGGTGATGAGACCTTGGATCAAACCCAAGCTCCCTCTTGCAAACAGGGCGGCATTTGTCCTTGATGCCATGCTCCTGACTGTGGGAACAAAGACAAGGATACAACAAACCAGTGCAAAACGGATCCAGGTCATGAAATGCGTGAGAGGCCACAACTCCTCGCTGCACGGCACCTATCTAAAGAGGCTGGTGACATCCCAAGACAGATCCCTGCTGAGAAAGGCCAGTCTATAGGGAACTGGTGGGAATGTTGACAGGAGAAATCCCAGACAGGTAGAGGGAGGGATGGGAAACAGTTCTGCGAAGGGTGGGAGCCCATCCCTCACACAGGCTCGTATCAGGTTGACCCTCTGTACCTTCACTCCAGCCCCACTTGGGGGGTTCACAGCAGCACCGGGGCAGTGGAATCAGGCCCGGGGAAGGCTGGAAGTGAGGGGGGAAGCAG